CATTGAATAATTGGTTTGGTTGTTGTCCTTAGGTGCCAGGCAGTCTGGTGCTAAGTGAACGACCCCTCATTAAACAGACCTATGTTCCCCTATTTCTAAGGTCTTTATGGCAACCAGCCTAGATGCTGACATTCCAAACACTTCTCCCTGCTCCTAACAGGGGTCTTACCAGGAGGAGGAATGCCTCCATCCTGACCTTGTTCCCGTAAATATACATGAGGGTTAAAGACCTCCATCGATAAGGTGAGTTCCCCTACCAGTCAGACTACATACAGCCTACCCTAAAATCAGACCTTAGGGAGGCCTGGACCAAGCTAGGGTTAAAGCTAAAAATCCATACACTGGACCGTGATGATGTATTATGTCCTAACTCACTGGAAATAACAGAAACACTCTCAAATGAACGTGTCAGGATGCATTTATTGGCTTAAAAATTGGAATATCCTGGGCCAGCATGGTAACTGTGGCACCAGCATCCCTTATGGGCACCGGTTTGTGTCCTGGCTGCTTCTCTTCTGATCCAGCCCCCTACCTCTAGCCAGGGAAAGCTGTGGAGAATGACTGAAGTCCTCGGGCTCATGCACTCACTTGGGGGGCCTGGAAGAAGCTCCTGGCTCTTGGCTTCCAGTCAGCCCAGTCCCAGTTTACCTTTTTGGGTAAAACCAGCTCAGCTGTGATCATGGCCATTTGAGGCGTGAACTAGCAAAACGAATAACTTTTTCAACTTCTCATTCTCGCTGAGAATCTGCCTTTCAAATTAAAAAAATAAAATAAATGTTTTTTTCTTTTTCTTTTTAATGGAAGATCAAACTATAGGCAAAGCTGGATCCAGAATCTGAAACACTGAGAGTGGGCTTTGTCCGTCCCTCCCCTTCGTCCTGCCAAGGACAGATGCATCTGCAGGTTTAATCTCACATTCTCTCAGGTCAGCAACTGCTGATTCAGGCAGAAGAGTTCAGTGAAAGGTGTAACCACTTGGGAGCCGGTCATAGTGGCCAAGGAGGTGAGCTGTGCGGACTGGTCAAGGAAATATTTTCACCATCCTGTGAGTGGGAGATAAGACTTTTCTACTGAAACTACTGAGACACATTTCCCTTCAGAAGGAAGGCTCTTTGGGGCCGGTATTGTGGCTCAGCAGGTTGAACTGTGTAACTGTCCTCCCTCCCAGTCTTCTGGTGTGGTGGTGTGCTGGCTTGAAGCTCTGCCTGCCCACTATTGTCCCAAGCTCTGGCATGCGTGCTGGCCTGGGACCTTACCTCTCCATGCACCCAATATCCAGGCCTATTCATAGTTCCTCAAACCCAGTCCGCCAGCACACCAGGCCAGCATTCTAATCTAAGGCTCTCTGCTCCCACCCCACCATGGACCAAGCAAGTTTGGGAAATCCCCAGGCTAGCTCTGCCTGTCTGGATGTGAGCCCCCAGGTCCCCGCATGTGCTCGCTGGCTCTATCCCCCTAGGTGCCCTGCAGGCTCACACTCCTGGATCCCCCACAAGGCAGCCACCTCAGCCTGCACTGGTAGGAAAGGTGGGAGGGTCACCTCTCCCAGCCTGTGCCCTGGTTGTTTTTTCTTTTAGAGACAGAGACAGAAAACACTCCCACTGGTTCCCTCCTCAAGTGTCTACAGCAGCCAGAGGTGGGCCCAGAGCTGAAAACACCATCCAGGTTTCCCAAAAGGGTAGCAAGGCTCCAATGAGTTGAGCTATGCCTTTGGCTCCCAAGCTTGGGTTAGCAGGGAATTTAAATCAGGAGCAGAACTGGGTTTTAACTTAGGCTCCTTGGTGTGGGATAGGGGTATCTTAACTGCTGAGCCGAATACCTACTCCTGCTTTCTGAGTTTGACACTTAGTGAAGATTGCAGCGTAGTGAGTAGTATAACCACCACCTGGAACAGTGGCTTTCCCTGTGGGTACCAGTTCATATCCCAACCACTCTATTTCTGATCCCCCTGCATGCCAATGGCCTGGGAAAGGGAGTGGAGAATGGCCCACTTGGGTCCCTTCCACCCACGTGGAGACCCAGAGAGCCCTGTCGTCTTTGACCTAATACAGTGCTGCCCATTGCAGCCATCTGTGGAGTGAACTAGCAGTGGAAGGTCTCTTTTCTGTCTCTCTCTTTCCATCTCTGTCTCTCCTTCTCTCTGTGTAATTCTTTCAAGTAAATAAGTAGATCTTGAAAAAAATTGTGAAATTGCATCTTTAAGTCATCGGAGATTTTGTTAAAGGTTCCTTATTAAATAAATCCCTAGTAAGACAAGTTAGGGATTTCAGTATCAGAAGTATTGTGTATATCAGACTGAAAATCTTAAAAGATAGAATATGCTAAAATATAATTTAGTATTAATAATTACTACTCAAGTTTCAGTGTAATATCGTGGCAGTTATTAAGTTCCCATTTTCTATAGAGATGAAAATTATCTCTTTATATAATATCAAGAACTAATATAAAAAAGCTGAATCAAACTTTATCCTGCTGTTTTCTGAGTCACGTGAGGATAGAGGAGGGGCAGACATTGGGAAGCCTTCCCATTGCGTGGTGCCCCTTCTGCACACCCTGTCCTCAGCTGAAAGAGCTAGGCCAACGCATGCCCCAGGGACACCCTAGACATGTTATTTAGCTTTCATGAGCCCCAGATTCTCAGGTAAGATGACTGTGGTTAGGGATAAGTGATGGTTGCTTACTATTTATTGTCTGTTAGCTGCTATGACTGTTGTCCCAACACCCTACCACAAGCATGGCCAACAGCCAGGGACACTGAAAAAATACCAGACCCAGGATGAGAAGTGAGGGGCAGGACTAGGAAAGAGCAGCGAGGAGAATGTGGTCATGTGTGATCTGGGAATTGCTTTTCCCCAGAATGGTAAATGCAAGGCTCTACTACTCTAAATTGATCGTACTTACTCTGACGTACCCTGTGGTCTAATGAATGCTTTGTGGTTTATGATACTGAGGTGGTAAAGGGAGTTCTCCTGGGGACCCTTCCCTACTCCAACCAGTGTTGTAATAATTTCACTTACTACTTGATTCCTTTTAATAGTCACATCGTGGTGGGAAAGGTTAGTGGTATTTTCCTTTTGTGAATGAGCAGGAGCCCGAAAGAGAGAGGCGTGGAACCATCACACTGGGAAGTGAAAATGTCTCCTGACATTGTATCAAAGAGGAAATTGGACTTTTTTTCATAAAAAAGTAACTGTGAAAACACTTTATAAAATAGAAAGAAAGAATTATTTCTAGCTTCTTTCCTGGGAAGAAAAGATAACATTTGTTTATACCACTTTTTCCTGTAGAATAATTTTATTCTTTCTGTATGAATACTCCTTTACATTATTTTTTAAGCTTTATTTCTTTTATTTGAAATGAAGAGATGGATGGATGGATGGATGGATGGATAGATAGCTGATCTATCCATTGCTCAGTTGACCTCCAATTTGGTGGCTCACTCCCCCAAGTGACTATAATGGCCAGACCTAAACAAGCCAAAGTCAAGAGCCTGGAACTCACTCTGGGTCTGCCACATAGGTATCAGGGACCCAGGCACTTGTACCCTGTTGTTCTGCTTTCCCAGGTGAAATAGCAGAGAGCTAGACGTAAGTAGAGCAGCCAATGCTTGAACCAAGGTTTGTGTAGATTACTGGCATCACTGGCCGTGGCCTAACCCACTGTGCCACAGAACCAGCCCCGGCCTTTACTTTACCAAGTGCAAAACAGCAGCTGGTATGATCCTCATTTCTTCAGATGGCTAACAGGAAATTTTTAAAAAGCCAAAAATAGTTTAAGTGTACTTTGTGCTAAGTATTCATTATCCTTACACATGCTTCATACAATGCATTTAAACACAGGAGGAAAAGCAATCAAAGCAAAACAGCTTAGCAAACTAAAATATATTAGGATTGAATTACTAATATACAAATGATACACCATAAACATAGAATTGACACTTGAATGTGGAATGAGCAATTGTCCTTATGGTTAAAACGCCCACCATGTCCTATCAGAGTGCCTGGGTTTGATTCCCAGCTTTGGCTCCCAGTTCCAGCTCCCTACTAATACAGATCATCAGAGGTAGCAGCATGTGATAGCCCAAGCAATGAGGTTCCTGTCACCAATATGGGAAAACTGGGCTGAAGTTCTGGCTCCTGGCTCCAGGCTTAGTCCTAGCTCCAACCTTTGTGGGCATTTGGAAAATGGGCCAGTAAGTAGCAAAGTTCATTCTCTCTCTCTCTATGCTCTTTGAATATATACATATACAAATTTTAGACACAAAAAAGTTCTTCCATTGGATTGATTCAAGTAAAACACTTGTGGATTAAGGTCCATTCGTGAAATTATAGCTGAACACTCAGAATTCTGTATCATAGAGGGAAAGCACAGCTGTGTGTAAAACTAGTATGTCGATAACTACTGTAGAGAAAAGGAATAGGAGCTGTAAGATTTCTAATAGAGTTTGACTTAGGAAGACTAGACTTCTCTGAAGAATTGGTGACTCAATTGAACTTGATATCCAAAGTGAAAAGAGAGGTAGGCAGCGAAAGAGACAGTGTGGGGCAAGGAGATGAGAGCATCCAGCCCAGAGATGGCCTTCAGAAACCCAGGCAAAATGTGATGGGTTTTGGAATCCAGGATTTCCGATAGAGATGAAAATAAGAGGACTGAAGTTTTTTAAAATGGCAGAAGTAATATCCCCTGTGATGTTTGATGGATTGAATGAGAGACTGAGAGATAGTGAACTGTAACTTGAAAGCTGTGAATTAGTATTATGACTGAAGGTTTAACCAGAAGAGCCTAAAAAGGAAATCAGACCCATAAACTCATTGCATCCCTGTGTGAGATTATATCCATTTTAACTGACTTTAAAATTTACAGAAAAATAATTTATTTAGGTATTGTTTTCTTGAGGGATGCTTGTGTGTATTTTATCTGAAGGTATCTGTCAGAAATTTTTATTTGAGAAAGTAGCCTGATGAAATGTTCATGCCTGTTCTCTCTGTTTTAACTGGTAGAATCTGAAGAAGATTCAGGAAATGGAAAAGAGTGATGAGTCTAGCACAGACCTGGAGGAACTGAAAAATGCCGACTGGGTAAGTAAGGTAGCTGGATATGTTCTCTGAGCTGCTGGCTGTATAAGAAATGGACGAAATATTTTGATTTTTTAAAATGCTAGTTATTAAGAACTAGTATAAATTGATAGGAAACTTGAATGCTTTTATTTCAGGAAATATAAATGTTTCTTTTTTGTTTTTAATTTTATGGTATAATTCCATAGGCTCTGGGATTTCCCTCATATTATTACTAGTATAGTCCTTCATAAGCAGTCATAAGTTCATCATTCTACTATTTAAGTGTGCCTGACATTGCCAGTACAGACAACGGCAGACAGTTCAGCATCCTATTGTCAAGATATTTCCAGCAGTTTCGTTGTGGCAGTCCCTCTTTGATTTGGAAGCAGAAATGTGTACTACACCATATCTTCACATCTGTATTATGCAGTTACTATACATTCCCTTAAATGAAAATCCATAAAACAAAGTTAACAACAGGAATAGTTTAAAAAATTTGCAACACCATGGAGTTTAGCAAGTTACCAAATAACCAATGTGTTGATGAAGAAATGAAACAAACAAACAAAAAAAACCTTCTTGGAGAAAATAGTGCTACTATATTGTCTGTGAGTCAGTGAAGAAATTAATAAAAGAAAAAATTATTTTGAAGAAATGTAAATAAAAATAAAATTATTAAAACCCATGGGTTCCAGCAAGAACAGAATTGAAAGGGTTATTGATCTTAAAATTTGCATGAAGGTTGCCTTATATCAGAGAGAACATCTGATATTTGTCCTTTCGGGATTGACTTATTTCACTAAGCATAATGGTGTCTGATTGGGACAATCTAGATGTAGAATTCCGTCCTTTTTGGTGGCTGAATAGTATTCCATGGAGTAGATGTACCACAGCCTCTTTAACCACTCCTCTTTGGATGGGCATCTGGATTGTTTCCATGTCTTTGTTATTGCAGATCCCTTTGTCATGCGCAGGTTTCATTTCTTTTGGATATATTCCTAGGAGTGTGATAGCTGGGTCGGTCATGCAGAAGCTTTGTTTGGAGTTCTCTGAGCACTCTCCATACTCCATATTGGTGGTATCAGCCTGCACTCCCACCAACAGTGGAGGAGTGTACCTTTCTCCCCACACCCACACCAGCAGCTGTTGTTAGCAGAGTTCTGAAAGTAGGCCAACCTCAGTGGAGTTAGTTGGAACCTCAGTGTAAATACCTAGGAATTAATCTAACCAAATATGTGGAAGTCCTCTATGATGACAACTATAAGTGTTAAAAAAAAAAGAAATAGAAGAAGACATTAGGTGATGGAGAAACTTACCTCGATCCGCAGGATCAGCATCATGAAAATGTGAATATTACCAAAAGCAATATACAGATTCAATGCAATCCCAGTCAAAATCCCAACAATATTCGCCTCAGAAGTAGAAAAGAAGATACGAAAGTTCATCGGGAAACACAAGAGACCATGAATAGCCAAAGCTATCCAGAAGATTAAAAATCAAACTGGAGGAATCTTATTTTCAGACCTCAAGACATACTACAGAGCGGTGGTCATAAAGGCAGTCTGATACTGGTACAGAAACAGAGACCAGTGGAACAAAATAAACAGCAGAAATGAGCTCACACATGTATAGGTAACTAATCTTTGACAAGAAAGTTGAAAGCAATCCAGGAGAAAAGCCTGGTATGTTCAACAAATGCTATTGGCGTAATTAGCTAGCAGCCTGCAGAGGTAAACATCAAGACCCTCTCTTGTCACCTCATACAAAACTCAGCTCAAGGACCTCGGTCTGCACCCAGAAACCATCCAACTAGTAAAGGAAAACAAGAAGCACTCCCCAAGATATAGGACTGGGGAAAGACTCTTAAAAAAGACACCAAAAACACAGGTAGTCAAAGCCAAAATAAACAGATGGGATTTCATCATGTTGAGAAGTTTGTGTACAGCAAAGGAAACTCAACAAAGTGAAGAAGCAACCAGCAGAATGGGAGAAAATTCAAGTGGCTAATAGGCATATGAAAAGATGCTCAGGCTCCCTTGGCAGTCAGGAAGATACAAAGGAAGTATATGTTTCTTACCTTTAAAGAGACATAGAAACAATCCAGATGCCCCAGTACCCAGGGATGAGGAACTGCCACCTCATATCAACCCCAGAGTCTCAATGTGTACATATTCCAAAAGTTTTCTGCCCAAGTGGTTTGGATAATTCTGAAATGCTGTTCATTTCATCAATCCAAGGATGATGTCACTCTACCAATGTCCATTGGCTGATGTAGTAAGCCTCAGGTCTCCTTTCACCGAAATTTTTTGCTGTCATTGTTTGACTGGGGCGGTTGTCCAGTTTGTTCTGTTCTCCTACTATGGCACCAGATAGGCTGCCACATTCTCATTTTACAACAGAGCCTGTGTCCACTGCTCTGCCTTTTTCACTAAGTAAGACATGTTCTTGCAGGTGAGCCCAAGGATCCAGGCCTTCACCCCTGGGAATCATGAACCCTACATCCACCTAGTAGGGTAGCTCCAGGACCCAATACCCTCCACATACCTCACTCCCAGAGTTGATACTTGATACCCACTTAGAAGGCGGGCTGCAGGACCTGGGTCAGGTGACCCCACCAGATCCCCCATTACCGGGACTCACAAACCTGGCACCCACCATACAGATGGACCCTAGGACCTGAGCCAAGCTATCTGAGCCCTGTCACATTCCCAGTCCCTGGGACTCACGAACCCGGCCTCCCCTGGGCCGAAACTGGCATGACTCACCTCACCTCAGCCTCACCTCTTACTGCACAGCCTGACCTGGTCTAGCTGCCCCCTGTTTCTGCTCCTGCTGGTGGGTGCTGCAGCCTATCCCAGTCCAGGCTGATTACTGTCCTGGCTCTAATGAGAACTGGTTGGTGTTGTGGCCTGATCTGGTTCCTCCTGCCCTCTGTCCTGGTTCTTTGGTCTGCCAGTGGATGTTGTGAACTGGTCCAGACTGGTCTGTCCCCAGACCTGACCCATGTGTATGCTGGCAGGTACTGTAACCTGGTGTGGTCTGGGCTGCTCCTTGCCTTGCTTCTAATATTCACCTGCAGGGACTGTGTCCCAATGAAGGAGTTTCCCAGGCTCCTCTATCGAGTCTCTTCCCAGTGGCAGTATTTTTAAAAATTATGTATTAGAACAGAATATTAAAGGAATGAGTAAGAAAAGTAAAGAATCTGGGACAAAGGTTCTCCCCAAAGAGAAAATATATAGGGAAATTATATTAGAACATCTTTTTTTAAAAATTTAAAAATATTTTGTTTTATGATATAGTTCCGTAGGCTCTGGGGTTGCCTGTGCCTTTCCCCAAGGTCTGCTCCCCCCACCCCCAATACCCATTGATTTCCACCTAGTTTTACAGTGGATATCCTTCATGAACAGTCACAAGTCCATCATGCTGTTATTGAACTGTTTCCCAACAATGTAGGCATGGACATTGTCAGAGTTCATCATCTTACTGTTAAGATGTATTCAGTTATTTCACTGGGAGTCCATCTTTGGTCTGTGTGCACAGACATACAGCACTTTGTCTCCATATCTGAACATCTCCGTCCCCACTACACTTCCATTATATATCCCCTGCAATACAGAACCAGTGAGCACAGTCCACAACAGGGTGAAAATGATAAATTTTCATCAATGTGAGGTTAACAAACATGCTACAGAAATAAAAATGCATCACAAGAGTGGTGAAAATGGGAATCAAAAAACCTTCTTGTAGGAATAGATGCTAGTGCGGGATCTTTGTGGGGCTGAAGGAATTACACTTAAAAACATACACCTTCATTACTCGTGATATGTAGCAAAACAGTGTTGAAATGGACATTTACAGTCTCAAGTGTTTACAAGCAATCCATAGCAGAATCCAAGAATCTTTTAAAATATGATTATTTTAGAGGGCATCCAGATACACTGCAATCCTTTTTAGAACGTGAGGATTAGAATGAATTATTATTTTGATCTGAGAGGCAGATCTACAGAGAGAAGGAGAGACAGGGAGATTCCATCCACAAGTTCACTCCACAGTAGCCGTAGTGGTCCCGAGCCAGGAGCCAGGAGCATCTTCCGGATCTCCTGCACGGGTTCAGGAGCCCAAGGACCTGAGCCATCTTTTTGCTGTTTCCCCAGGCCATTGTGAGGGAACTGGATCAGAAGGGGAACAGCCAGAGCTGCAGACGGAGAGTTGACCACTGTGCTGGCCCCAGAATGCATTTTTATGATTCACAGATTTTTATTGACACTACATGATACGTTTAATAATTTTTCCTATAAAGATTGTTATGAGGCATTTGATTTTATAACAGCTTTTTAATTCATTTGTTAGTTATAAGATATTTCAGTTAAGTGTTGTATTGATTGGCTTGTCATTGAAGTAGAGACTGTGGCACCTTAGGCAATGAATGGAATAATTACATACATACATGCTTCATCTCAGATACATTCATATAAACCCCCTTTTGTTCTCAGAACTCTTTAATATATGCAAATTTTTGATGAATCTGAAAAGATGGTAATGACACAAAATTTGTTATTTCTGAACATTTGCTCTGCAAAGAACACTGTGGATCAATTCTGATCTCAGATGCTCATGCTAAGGAAACTATAGCTATTTTGGTGAAACAAGATGTGCAGTATCTTTTAGGTGGTCCTGTCAGTCGGCTCTGGCCACAGTAATGCTGGCTATCTATGTAGAGTCACGGACTAACCACTGATACTCTCTCCAGCTCAGCAATTGGCAGATCATTTGCGCTGGCTCCACCCAACTGAGCTGCTAACAGTTTGGTCTGGACCTGAGTTTCTCCAGGTGCTAATAGACAGGGCTGCCATTGTAGGTTGAGCCTCCATTGCCAACACTGGCATTTGATGTCCTTCAGATCCTGTGTTTCAATACTTCCTAACCAGTTTCCTGCTAGTATACCTAAGAGGTAGCAGGTCATAGCCCAAGTGCTTGGCTATCTGCTACCCGCATGGGCTGGCCTCTTGTGGAATGTTTGGCTTCTGGCTTTAGCCTGGCCTAGCCCTGGCCTTTGCAGCCATTCAGAGCGTGGAAACCCGTTCCCTCTTTCTGTGTCATTCTGCCACTCAAGTGAAAAGTGAGTATTTTAAAAAGGTTGACACAATAAAATGAGATTCATTAAAAAGCAAAAGTTACAACTGCCCTTGCTAGTGGTGGAGCTAGGTTTAAAACTTAACATGCCTCAAAAGTTACAGCCTGTGCAACTTCATCCTGGTTTTCTACACATTGTTTAGTGCCCTAAAATCTAGTTTAAAAATAGTTTCTGTTTGTTTTACTCGGTAGTTTGTAATCCAGGCTCATCATTTATTCTGTATGGTTGTGGCTGTTTAGGTGAAGTTTGTAGATTTGTTCATGATGTTGTGCCACCCTTGTTCTTTCAGGCACGTTTCTGGGTACAGGTGATGAGGGATTTACGGAATGGGGTCAAACTTAAGAAGGTTCAGGAGCGACAATACAACCCGTTGCCCATTGAGTATCAGCTAACCCCTTATGAGATGCTAATGGATGACATTCGGTGCAAAAGATACACTTTGCGAAAAGTAATGGTAAGTAACAGATAAACTGTTAATGGATTCGAACAGCTATGATCTTACTTGTTGAAACTGGTGCCCTTAATATTAAATTTTAAAAATTTATTTTTTTATTGTAAAGTAATAGTCATTGTAGAAAATTTGTACAGTGAGACAGGTGATTGATATAGCATTTAAGACCAAGCTTGGGATGCCAGTATCCCATATCACAGTATCTACTCTGAGTTCGAGTTCTACTCCTTTACATCCTTCTGCTAGTGCCTCCAGTAGCCCGACTCCCTGCCACGCATATGGGAAACCCAAGTGGAGGTTATGGCTCTTGGCTTCTGCCTGGCCAAGTGCTGACTAGTTCAGATATCCGAGGAATGAACTAGCAAAGGAAAGATCTCTTTCTCTCTCTCTCTGGTTCTCTCTCCTTCCCTGTCTCTCTCAAGTAAATAAAATTTAAAATACATGTTATGGAAATTTTTCCATTTCATTATATACCAATAGCATCACTTCTAAATGGCTGCATCTTTTATAGTTTATGAGTGTGTAAGAGTTCATTAATTTGTGACCAGTTATCAGCAACATATTTTGTGTATTCTTGTATATAAATATTTTTTAGTAGCCACAGTGAAATCCTTGAATTAAGCTGTTAAAAGCAGAATATCTAGGGGCCAGCATTTGGCACAGGGACTTAAGGCACCTCTTAGAATGCCAGCAGCCCAAATCAGAGTGCCACTTCAAGTCCTAGTTGTTCCACTTCTGGTCTAGTTCCATGATAAAGTGCCTGGGAGAGCAGCAGGAGACAGCCCAAGTGCCGGTGTCCCTGCCGTCCATGTGAGAGACTCAGGGAGTTCTCGGATTCTGTCTTTGGCCTACACCAGCCCTGGCTATTGTGGATATTTAGGGAATAAACTAGCAGATGGAAGATCTCTCTTCTCTGTCTCTCCCTTTCTATTTCTCTGTCACTCTACTTTTGAAAAAAATAATAGTAAGTATGTTGGGGCTGGCATTTAGTCTAACAGTTAATACTTCATATTGAAGAGCCTGGGTTTGAGTTATAACTCAGAACAGAGCATTGGGGATTTTTTTTTTCTATCTCTGCTTCACAAATAAACAACATTTTTAAAAGAAATTAAACACACACACACACACACACCCCATCCCTGCTGCCTCCAGGTCACCTTCCTACTTTCTCTCTTCCCTGTCTTCAATCTTGTTTTTCCCAACAATACCCAGAGTGAGCCTTTTTAAAGTAAAAATGCGATGCTGTCATGGCCCTGTTCAGAACCTTACACAGACCCTACGTCACTCTCAGAGTGAACTCCACATTCTCAATGTTGGTCCAGGAGGCCTGCATGATCAGGTGCTGATTCCCAAGCTCAAAGGCCTTAACGCCTTCCAGCTTTCCCTGTGGGTTTCTCCACTTTAGCGCCCTGATCTCTTCCTGTTGTTCCTCCTCCCTGGGTGCAGCCGTGTGACTCACCTTCGTTTGACAAGTCCCCTCTCCACCTCTGCCCACATGGCACCAACTGGCCTTGCCTCCCCACCAAGACAACGGCTCAGCAATCTACTGTCTCCTGTAACTAGATCATGTGCCTAAGCATAGACTTAAGTACTGAATACTGTGCTCATTAAGTCATTGTGAAATGAATTAATTAACCACGCACACATTTTGGAGAAAAATTAATCAGTCATCATATATAGAAGATTCTTACCAAGCACATCTCTTGGTTTTGTAACAAATATACCTGAATAGTTGTTTGAGCTGCTTGTTAATTTTAACAAGCTATCATATTTCAACTCAATGTCTTACTGACTGACTTTATGGTTGGGGAAATTGAAATTTAAAGATGCCCAAAACTGGAGTTTTCTAAGTGCACACAAATTGTAATTCCAAGGTAGATTTTGTTCTTATCCTATTTAGCCACAGAGCCTTCGCTGCGTGCCACATGCATAGTACCCAGTGGTCCTCGAAAATTATGTGAAGACTATCAGTTACAACAGGATAGTTTAACTTATTTCTTCACCTCTTAGTATAAATTAAATGTCTTTTGGGGTTGACCAGTTTGATGCAAAGAAAATATTCTTGAGTCTTTAAAATCTGTACTTTTTGCATTTGAATATTTAAAAATATATGCCTTCCATTTGCATTTCTTAGTTTTATTTTAACAGTGATCTATTATGAGCCTTGCTCAAGTGCCAAGCTTTTTTCTAGACTCTGAAAGGACATTATATAGTCCTTGTTCTCTCAGAGCTTTCAGTTGGGAGACACTGATCACCCGAGACTTCTGGAAAAATTTTTTTAAAACATAATTTGAACGCAAAACAAAAAAAAGTGGAATTTGACTCACACAAAAATCACCATCATTAGAATACAGAATGGGATGTTTGAAAGTGGAGTTGGCAAGGTAAGAAGAGAAGATGATTCAGGATAGAACCTGAGAAGCCGCAGCCGTTAAGGATGCATAGAGGAGGAGGTAGAATAACACTTGGCAGGTTACAACCAGAGAGAGCAGGGAAGACAAGGAAGTGCAGCCACGGTTGTGAAGGGCAAGCAGTGTTTCAGAAAGGTCAGAAAAGCCCTGGGAAACGGCTAAGACACCCAGTAACAGAGAGAGGGTTTGTGAAGCAGAGAAGAGGATAAAAACCAGATTGCAGGGTGGCAGGTGGGCCAGGGCAGAGAATGGTCTGTGTACTACTTTCAAGATGTTTTTCGAAGGAAGTCAAGGGGTAGCATTTGAAAAAACACATGAGTTAAAGTTGTTTTTTTTTTTTTCCTTTTGATGGTATGAGAAAGCTTAGTTTGGAAACAGTTATTGGAAGGAGAAAAAGCAGAAGCTAAGGATCACTGGCAGGACCTGAAAGCGGGGACAGGCGAGAGAGGATGGCTCTGGGTTGTCACCCTCTTGTGTCCCCTCACAGAAGACAGCGTTGCCACACTGCTGCGACCTGCTCCAGGTCTTGTTCCACACTCCCTATCTTTCACAGTCTTATTTCAAGTCTTAGAAGCTTTTAGTGTCTTTCCACTGTTCTCTAAACAGTAACCTAAAATTCCTTAGATCGTTGAGCACCCCAGCCGTCCTTATTTCCAACTCATTGTTTAGTCTTAATGGTTTACTACCTAACACAGTAAGTATTATGTGCTAACCTGGAAAATTTGCTGTTTTCTGAAATTCTACTCATCTGCTTCCATTTGTGCTCATCCTCCCCGTTGATCCAAACAAGCCATCTCCGAGTAATATCACTAATAAATGTTTCTTACAGCTACCAGTATCAAATCCAAGTCATTGTAATGATTCTTTTTTCTTTTTATGATGATTACATAGTTGAGAAAGGTTCATGCCCACATGGAGCACTGATTGGGGTGGGAAGAGTTGAGAAACAGGGGAAGGTGGATGAGACCATTGTTTCCAGTTTGCTTTTTCTTCTTCCTGTGTCTGAGGGAAACCGGGAGAGAAAGGGAGAAGCCACACCCAACATCCTAACCACATTGGTAGCCAGGAAGGGGGATGGTCATCCAGTGTCATCCCAGGGTCCCCGACGTGGAGCATACTCCAAGAGTTCTGCTCAGGCGGTTTTGAGAGTTCTGAAGTGCTGTTGATTTCATTGCTCCAAGGATCAATAAATTCTTCCAAGATCCATTTGCCTACATAAGTCCACCTTAGAGTTTCAATTCACCTAGATATTCACTGTCAAAGCTTGACTGGGAGAGTTGTCCAATTTGTTCTGCCATCCATGGTACTAGGCGTCCTCTACAGGCCTCATTGAACTGTTTATCATGTCCCTTACAACATCTGGGTCCATCCACTGCACAGGCTTCAGCAACCATGGAGACCCCCATTCTAATGCATGCACTCCGTGGTCAGACCACAGTTCCCATCATTATCACTGTGGTTGGAGTTGAGTCTAGTGATCCAGTTGGGGGAGTCCCCATAGAAACCTTGCTAGAGTTGACCCCAACCTGACTCCTTTGTGTGCCAGCTAGTGCAGGGGTCCAGCTCAGTCCATCATCCACACCAGCGTATAAATACACTAGTGATTGCAGTCAACCTGGTCATTTCTTTCTCCAGCCCCATCACATATGCAAACCAGTGGATGCTGCAGCCCAGCCCTCATGCACACCAGTGGGAACTGCAGCCTAGTCAGAGTGACCCCCAAAACCTCCAGCAGCCCCGCCCCTGCCATGGTTCCTGTGCATGCTGGTATGTGCAGTGGACTGGTCCAGTCTGATCCGTGTCCCATTCGGCTTTTGTACACACCATTGGGTGCTGCAGCCCAGCTTAGCCCAACCAGTCCCACTTTCCAGCCCACAGTTATGCCAGTGGGTGCTGCCACCTGTCCAGCCATGTCCACCCCCAGCCGTGGTTCACATGCTCACCAGTTTGAACTGCAGCCCACTAGAGGGATGCCCATAGTTTTCCTGTTTGCCCACTGCCAGCCCTAGATCTCTCATGTTCCAGGTGGTTCTGCAGGCTAGCCTGACAGAATTTACCCTCAATCCTGGCACTCTCCAGCCGATGCTGCCCAACCAGCCTGCACTTACTCTGGCTCATGCTTGCACCAGTGGATACAGGCAGTTATCCCAGCCTGGCTCTTCCTCTAACCCAGCTCACATGCAGGCCAGTGGGTATTGTAGTCTTGCCCAGCCTGGTGTGCCCCTGGTCCTGGTTCTTATGTTCAACCACCTCCCTATTAAAGGATGTAGATTGTTTCCAGTTCAGGCTGTTAAGAAAAAACTGCTGCAGATATTTGTATATGGGATTGTATATAGATATGTTTTTATGTTTCCAAGACAAATGAACATGCTGTCATTGCTGGGTCATACAGTAAGTGCATATTTAGTCTTGTGGAAAACTGCCAAACCTTTCCATTATCTCTGTTCATTCATTTTATAAATACTTCTTTTAATTCTGTTTGCAAATGTTCCCTTATTTTCCCATTGTGTGCCAAGTTATGCCAATATAAAATGACAGAATGCTCCCTCTCATAGTCTAGTGAGACCAATTGGTAATAAACAGGAAGGTATAGGTGCAAGATACAGGAAAAGTGATCATCCCCTCTGGACATGCCGGGGGAAACTCCAGCAAAAAGTAGTTCTGGGGATTAAAATAAGAAGAATGTAAGATTTGACAAAATATACTTTGGATGTCGCCGTGAAAGGACATCAGATATTTAAAAGTCCATGTAAGAGTAGGCATGCCAGGACACTGGAAAATGTTTAGGTTCAGGGATGAGCACAGTCGTGTTTTCCAGAAAAGTACGTGTGACTTTTTTCATCAAACTTCTAGAAATGAAGGGAGATACTTCCCTTTTCTGACAGGAATAGAATATATTGTGTGCTAGCTGCTGGCTTCCTCCCCTCGCAGCCGTCTGATTCGTCACTGCCAAGCACTTGCAATGCTGTGCAAAACTAAGAGGAGCTTGCATCATGAAAATCAGTTCCAAGCTTGACTTAGTGAAATGCGTGTCAGGGATGCCACCACATGAGGAAGGAAGATCCCAGCACTTGGGGGTTGGCATTGAGGTGCGGCAGGTTAGGCCACTGCCTAAGATGCTGGCATCCCTTATGGTTTGAGTCACCCACGTGGGAGACCTGAATGAGGTTCTAGACTCCTCCAGCCTGGCTTAACCCTGGGACATTGCTGTATGTGGGGACAAATTCTGTAGGGGGCCTGGAGGCTTGCCTGTGTGAGAGCGCAGCATTTGTCAGTTTGCATGGAAAGCTGAAGGTTAGACAACAGAAAGCCAGGCTAGACAGCAGAGCTCACCTACAGGAACCTGCCTGACCCTAGCAGAAGCTGAGGAGGAGGCCAGCTGGAACCAGGCTGCTGCATCTCTGCATGCATGGGGTTTGGAACTGGGAACAGGCCTGGTACGGGAATTTGGGGGACTCCCCCACTAGGCTGAAGCACCCATCAGCATTTGTGTGGGCCAGATCTGGAGACAGACCTGGCTAGGACAGGACACAGCATCCATCCGCTGGCACGCAGGAGAGCCAGGACCGAGTGTGGGCTATGCACCTCTGGGCTTTGTTGGGCTGAAAAACCCACCAGCAGCTCAGACTGCAGGCTGGCCAGGCCAAGCTGGGTCTAAGTATGTGCCAGCACTCACATGACCCTATGCTGGGAACAGGCCCAGTAGAGGAACTCTGGAGACTCCCCTACTGGGCAGCAGTTCCACTGGTGAGTACAAGAGCCAGGTTGTGGGTGGACTAGGCTGGGCAAGGCTGCAACACCCATTGGCATGCATATGGGCTTGGTCTGGGAGCAGGCAAAACTGGGCTAGGCTCCAGCACCTACTGGTGCTCGTGAGAGCCAGAACAGGTGTAGGACAGACCGGGCTAGGTCATGGCACTTACCAAATCACATGAGAGCCAGGTCTGGGGTGGACCAGGTGGGCCAGGGTCTGCCATGTGGACAGGTGTGTTAACTTAACCCAGACATGCCCTCTGGTTTCCCCTGCCTAAACCACTCCATCTCAGTTCCCCTGGCTGCCTGTGGCCCAGTCCATGAAAGCCCCCAGAAGTTATTCTTCCCATGTCAAATATGCCCTCAGCTGCTCCCATTCCAAACTGTCTACAGACCCACTTCCCCAGGCAGGGGAGGAGTGGAGGGGGCCACTCCTTGTTAAACTACATCAGCATCCAGGGATGGGAGACGGTCATTGGATTATACTTGATATTAGCCAAAAGGCCGAGAAGCAATTGGTCATTTGATTATGCCTTAGAGACCCCAGTGTGGGAAAAGTGTTACTTGAATAGTTTTGATAGTTCTTGGATATTTTATTGCTCCAGGGTTAAGAAAAACCTTTACAAGGTCTGTTCGCCAACCAGATTTACCTCAGTGCATCCACAGCCTGAGATATTTGCTGCAGAGCTTGACCAGGAAAGTTGTCCAATCTGTTTTTTCCATCCCACTAGCAAAGCACTCAGTGTCCTCTGCTGCCCTGGATGAGTTGGCTGTCTTGTCATGCATTTGAAGAAGGCCCAATTCTGATACATGCACTCCAAAGTTGGACCACACATCCCGTGACTTTTCCCTGTAGATGGGGTCTGAGTCCAGTAGTCTATTTGGAAAATCTGTTAGAAAGACCTTGCCTGGGGTGATGTCAGACTTGACTGTCATACGAGTCAGCCAATACAGGGTCATGTTTGGACTGTCACCTGCACCAGCCAACAAGCATACTGGTGAATACAGCTGCCTGGTCTGTTCCACCCAAGTCTCATATCTCATGCGCACCATCAGGTGCTGTGGCCCAACCCAGCCAGACCGCCACAGACCAGTCCTCATGCATACTAGCAGGTGTGGTGATCCAGTTGGGGCAGCCCCCAATTACCCCCTCCAAGCTTGTCCCCAGCCTCAGTTTTTATGTGTGCCAGCCTCTGCTGCAGCCTAGCCTGGCCCAGTCCACACCCCTTCTGACTGCACATCCGTGGTTGCTGTGGCTTTGCTCAGCCAGCATACACCTAGATCCATCCCTCATGTATGCAGACAGGTGCAGTTACACTACTCTGCCCAGCCTGGCCTATACCCAACCCGCTTCTCTTATTCTCAGCGGGAGGCACAGACTAGCAGAGGAGTACCCACAGTTCCAATGCCAGGCATGCTTCCAGCCCAAGGTCTTGTGCTCCTAAGATGTACTACAGTTCAACATGATATGACATAACATCCAGTCCTGGCACTGCAACCTAGCCCATCTTGGCCAGCATCCTTTCTGCCTCTCTCATGCTAGAGGGTGAGGCAGCCTGGCCCAAACTGGCTCACCCACAAGTCCTAGCTCTCAAACTTGCTTGTAGTAGCAGCAGCCCAGCTGAGGAGTCTCAGTGGTTTCCCTAAGGTCCTCTGTCAACCTGGGGTTCATACCTACCAGCAAGTTTTGTGGCCCGGTCTGAGATGGCCCGCTCCCAGTCACCGCATTCACCAGTGTTGTATCCTGGCTCAGCCCAGCCTAGCCCACTCCCATCCACTGCCCCCATGTAAACTGGCAGATGTTATGATTCAACCAGTCTTGGTCTCCACATCCTGGCTCTCCCTAGTCCAGTGCATACAGGATCCTGCCTGGCCTGCCCTCAGACCCAACCCACATGTATGCCAACAAGTGCTATGGCCCAGCCTGATCTGGCCTGCTTTCAGTTCTGACTCACACTAACAGGAGCTGTGGTCCAGCAGAGGAGTTCCACAAGTACTCCTACCGAGCCAACTCCTAGTAACAGATCTCATGTGCCAGGAGGTACTGCGACCCAGCCTGACATCTCTGGCCCCAGCCCTGGGCACTCAGTGGCCGTTACTTGGGCCTACCCTGACTGGCCCTCAACCATTCTGGCTGTCACTGATGGGAGCTATGAAGTAATATGAAGATCTGGTTGAACTATTTCTTACAATAAGGATTTTTTTTTTAATACAAGGTGAAATCTGCATCTAGAGGGTGGTACCACATTAGGCCTCATGTCCTCCTGAAAACAAGCACCAGTCATCATACACTTGATCTTACTCAAGTAGCAGTACTCCTGGCACCTGCTGTCGCGCCATCCTCCTCCATCCAGGGCTTTGGAGCGGGATGCAGCAAAGAACGGTTCAGTGGAAGGGTAGGCTGCAGCAGGCTTGCCACGGGAAGGAAACTGGTCACCTGCAGTTGGCAGATCACATTCTGGATTGCTCATACAAGACTAGAAAAATAAATACGAGACAGCCATGCCCTCTTGGTATCGAAATGTAAGTTTAGATTGTTATTTTTGTGATTTTTCTGGTCATTTGTAGTATCTCTTTAATTTTTATTAAAGCACACTTTAATACGAGGGTGCATTAGGCTAGCAGACTAATAGAGTCTTTGGTCACTGTAGTTAGTAACTCTGTCTGGGAAGATACCACACTTGGTTTCTCTACTTTGCCTGAGTTTTATTTGCAGAAAATGAATGTTACCAATCCTTCCTATTGCTGAGGTTTTTTTTCACAAGCATGAAAAGAAGATGCTTTTTAAATTTTAAACTAGTAAGTACAGGCATTGTACATTCTGTTCATAATTTCAGAAACTTTTTGTTGAAAGAAGTAGATACAGCTTCTCAAACCGATCTAACTTGGGCTTTAATTGATTTAATATAATGGGTTTTTTTTTACCCTCAGTCACACAACCATTTTCTCCTCCACTTTACTTGAAATGCACCCTTGGTGGAACTAGAAAACATTTGTGATATATTTGAGGTACCAGCTACACCCATTAACTAAGTCTACTTTTTATTTCTTTCAGGTGAACGGCGATATTCCCCCTCGGTTAAAAAAAAGTGCTCATGAAATCATCCTGGACTTCATCAGATCAAGACCACCTTTAAATCCAGTATGTGCTTGACATGTTCCTCGTGATTGGAGACTGAATAATAAATTCTTCCCTTGGGTGTCAACTCTAGAATTCAGAATTCTATCTTTTCCTCCAAGCTTTTATTCTAAGAATGACGAAGCTCACCTGTAAACTTTATTCTTCAGTCGCAGAAAAATACTGAAAATTATTCAATATAAGACTGCCTGCAAATTCAAAACAGCTGCAAACCATAGTCAGATACTTCCAACAGTCATAAGATATAATACCTGACGGTTGCTGGTGTGGATTGTCCTTCTAATCAACTTTGTAGTGTTAATACTCCTCTTCTGTGATGCACTCTATGTTAATTAACTTCCTCTATTAACAAGGTTATGGTCTCCCATATGTATTTCCGTTGTTCTTCACTTCCTCCCATTCCCTTCCCTTGCCCTCTCCCACTCCCCAAAGCCTCCCTAAAAGAGAGAAAGTGACCTGGTAAGGATGATCTCAGAACAGAAAAAAAAACGTGCAGTCAGTTGGCCTAGACTTCGTGCTGTGGCTGCACACTTCAGTAGCTAGATCTGCCTGTGGAAGGCAGTCAGTCTTCCCCCACCCTACCACCACCGCCGCCACCACTGTAGAATTTGAAAATTTGAAGTTGTGGTGTGTTATTCAAAATGTTAGTCTCAGAAACAGTAGTAAAATACAGCTTCCATTTGCAGTTGCTTGCCTGTCTTGGTAGCACATTAGGAATCTAATTATAATTTGAGCAAAGCTGCCTGAAATTAGTAGCACACACATGACTTAATCACTGTGAAATTCAAGTCATCTCCCAGTTGCTTTTGCAATGTTCATGTTTAATGACTTGAAAAAAGTCTTTTATCCAGCAACAAAATAGAACTCGTAGTGCTATACTGTGTGAATGTCCTTCATTTAAGGACAAAACCTCCAATCTCATCACTATGTTGTTTTTCCCCAGGCCTCAGCCAGAAAACTGAAACCAACGCCTCCTCGGCCACGGAGCCTCCATGAAAGAATATTAGAAGAAATTAAAGCAGAAAGAAAGTTAAGGCCCGTCTCACCAGAAGAGATTAGACGGAGCCGATTGGGTGAGTCCGTCGGCACCTGTACCCTCAGTCTAGAATCATTGTGGAGAAGTATCTTTGAAGATCCAATCCCTGAAAATAGGGGTACAAAGTAAAGGCAATCTATGACCTTCTCATTGCTTACTCATTTCCCTCTGGCATCCTAACACATACTGCTTGAATTTTCTACTTAAAAATCTTAGAACAGGAAATTCTTCCCTCACCGAATGTTGGAGTATATGATAATACCATAGCATTCTGGAAAGTACTTTGCCATTCTCTAGAAAGAGGTTGTAGGAAAGCCTCTTACTTGCATGTGCACCATTTTTTTCATCAGAGAGGGAGGTAAACATTTCTCTACTTAAATGATAACCTTTATGTAAGAATTAAATAGGGTCACAGTAAAAATAGGTTACAAGTCGTAATACATGTACAAAGGTAGGTACTGCATTTTAGAAATACAGATTATCAGTAAATTGTTTTCCTCAAATTTAACATGAAGCAAAATTTAGGAAGCACCTACATAGACATTGGTAAGGAATTCTTGAAAAAGTCACCAAAAACACAGGCAGTCAAAGCCAACATAAACAAATGGGACTGCATCAAACAGAAAAGCTTCTGTACAGAAAGGGAACAAAGTGAAGTCAACAAAGTGAAGAAGCAACCAGCAGAATGGGAGAAAAGCTTTGCGCACTACACAACAGATAGGGGACTGACATTCAGGATTTACAAAGAGCTTCAGAAACTCAGTGACAACAAAACAAAGAAATGGGCAAAGGAAATGAACGGGCATTTTTTTTAAAAAGAAGAAAATCAGGTAGGTAGTAGACATATGGAAAAATGCTCAGGCTCCCTAGCTGTCAGGGAAATACAAATGAAAACCGCATTGATGTTCCACCTAACTCCAGTAGATTGGCTTTGGTATTCAAGTGATATTGGCTTCGTAGAAGGAATGTGGAAGGCTTACCTCCCTTTCTACTTTTTTGAATAGCTTGTGGAGAATTGGGTTAAGTTCTTGAAATGTTTAGTAGAATTCAGCAGTGAAGCCATCCAACCCAGGGCTTTTCTTTGTTGGGAAGAATTTAATTACTTATTCAATCTCTGTCCTGCTTGTGTCTACTAAAATTATTAATTGCCTCATCATTCAATTTTGGTGAATTGCCTGTGTCCAGAAGTCTATCAGTTTTTTTTGTCTTCTGATTTGTGGTGTCATTACTTGTAATGGTTACTGATTATTCTATAAATGTCCAGGGTACCCATTGTTATATTTCCTTTTTTGGCTCTGATGTTATTCATTCATGAGTTCTCCCTCCGTGTTTTGATTAGTTGGGCTGGAGGGGAATCTATTTTGTTGATTGTCTCAAAGAACCAGCTCTGATTTGTGGATATTATATATTGTTCTTTTGGTCTCTGTTTTGTTTATTTCTTACTTTGATTTTTTTTCCCTGATAATCTTGGGATTGTTTTAGTGTTGTTTTTCCAGCTCCTTCAAAAGTATGGTTAGTTCTTTTACTTGGTGCTTTTCTAATTTCTTGATGTCAGCACTGATTGACGTGAACTTTTCCTCTTCACACTTGGTTATGTTCCATAACTTTGCTATGTTGAGTTGATGCCTTCATTCGTTTCAAGCAAGTTTTTTTATTTCCTCTTTGATTTCTTCTATAATCCGTTGTTGATTTAGTAGCATATTGTTTGGTCACCAAGTATTTGCATATCATCTGTGATATTTTGACTTGCTGGTCTCTAGTTTCACTTCATAACCATCTGGTAAGATACATGGTGTGATTTCAGCTTTTTAAAAATTTCCTTGGGATTGTTTTATGGCCTATAATATGATCAGCACAGAAAAAGGTCTATGTACAGATGAAGAAAAAGTGCACTCTGCATCTGTACAATGAAAGGTTCTGTAGATTATTATTTTTATTAAATCCATTTGTTCCGTTGTGTGAGCTATGTTGTTTCCTTGCTGAATTTCTGTGTCATTGATCTGTCCATTGAGGTTAGTGGGGCAGTAATATCCCTTGCTATTATTGTGTTGGAATCTATTTCTCCCTTTAAATCCCATTAGTATTTGTTTGATGTAGCTAGGTACCTTAAATTTGGAGCATGTATGTTTATTATGGTGATTTCTTCCTCTTAAATGGATTACTTGACCATTATTGTGTTGTGTCCTTCTTCATCTCTCTGAATGCCTTTCACATCAAAGTCTAAATTATCTGATATAAGAATGACTGCACCATCTCGTTTTTCCTTTCCATTAGCCGGGAATGTCCTTTTCCGTCCTTTCACTTTCAGTTTCCACATATATTTGTTGATGCGATGTGTCTCCTGTAGGCAACAGAAGGATGGGTTTTGTTTTTTCATCAGTCCACTAATCTGTGGCATTTATTGATGAGTTTAAGCCATTTACATTCAGGGTTAATGTCAGTAGGTAGTGAGTTGGTCCTGTCATTTCGACAGTGGATTGTTCCTTGATTTAGCCTTTCATCATTTTATTGGGACATTCTCTACCTTTGCCTTTGGTTTTAGTAGGTGCTATTCCTTTTCTCTATCGCTAGGACATCTTAAAGTAACATACATAGAGCAGGTCTAGCTTAACTTGCTGCATAGCTTCCCCTCCTTGTTGGTTTTGTTCCTGCTGCTTTAGGTATCAGATTCATGAAATCAGTGTCATGATTCTTTTCTTCCATGTTTTATTGTAGGAATTTTAGTTTCAGGTGTTAAATTTGAGTCTTCAATCCATTTTAAATTTAAAGATACAAGCCCAGTTTTGTTCTTTTGCACATGGATAGCTAAGTCCCTTGATTTCATATGTTAAAGAGGCTTTAGGTTCTCCATTGTGTGTTCTCGGAACCCTTTGGAAAAATCCATTGGCCACAAGTGTATTTCTAGGCTATTCCACTCTCTGTTCCTTTACTCTATATCCATGCCTGTTGATACCACATTGTTTTGATGACAGTGGCTTGGTAATATATTTTAGCCTCTTAAAAGAGTGATGCCTCCAGTTGTGTTTTATCCTTCTCAGAATGAAGACATTAATCAGAAAATATGAGATTTATGTTAAGTTTCCATTACCTTTAGTTCCAAATTTTGCGTTGGGGAGTCAGATTTGGAATTAACCCAAAGAAAATTTCCCTAATATTTCATCGCCTTTTCTCTCTGTGTAATTGCACAGAGTAAAAACACACTGCAGAAGGGAGATGTGTTCATTTAGTTATTTGAAAGGCAGAGAGAGACAGCTTGATCTTCTCTACACTCATTCACTCCCCAAACGTCAACAACAGACAAGGCTAGCAAGACAAAAGCCAGGACCCTAGAGCTCCATCTGAGTCTCACACGTGGGTGTTGTGGTCCCAAGTACTTGGGAGCCATCTTCTGCTTTTCCACACACATGAGCAAGGAAGTTGGAGCTGAATCAGAAGCATGGGAGAGCCAGGGGCTCAGCTCTCACTCCCATGTGAAATACCTGCGTCTTCAACAGTGGCTTAGCCGCTTAGCACATATCTTAATAAATAGCTTATTTGCTATGATCCTCAATTATTGTCCTCATTGTGGTATTTGGGAAAGATGTGACATCATGTTTCAAGAAATAATAGCTCCCTTCTCTTACTCCATAGTATTACATTCATGTGCCAGAGAAGAACAGCGTAAGGTATTAGAGAATATTGAAGGGTACTTGAGTAATGCTTTATTAGTTATGCATGATAATAAAATTTAGAGTAGATAGTAATATTAGAGCTCAGGAATGCAGTATTTGAATGGTGAGCCATTTTCACCACAAAATCTAAACATTTTCTTTTGCATAGCTAAAATACAGAAAGTAACTATTTAAAAATTTATATCTTGGGGCAGTGATGTGGCACAGAAGTTTCACCCACCTCCTGCAAACACTGGCATGCCGTATGGACACCTGTTTGAGTCCCGATTGTTCCACTTACAATCCATCTCCTTGCTAATGCACCTGGGAATGTAGCAGATGCCCATGTGCTTAGGTTCCTGCCATGCACGTGGAAGATCCGCTGGAAGCTCTGACTCCTGGCATCAGTCTGGTCTAAGCCCAGCTTTTGCAGCCATTTGGGGAGTGAATCAATGAATAGAACTAACACACACACTCTCTCTCTCTCTCTCTCTCTCTCTCTCTCTCTCTCTCTCTCTCTCTCTCCCCTCCCTCCCTTCCTTCCTCCCTCCCTCCCTCCCTCCTCCTCTCTCTCCCTCCCTCCTCCTCTCTCTCCCTCCCTTTCTCCCTCTCCTTTCTCTCTTTCTCTTTTCTCTCTGATTCTCCTCTCAGTAACTCTGCCTTTCAAATAAGTGAATGAATAAATCTTTTTCTTTTAAAAAAGTTATGTCTGGGGCAGACCTTTGGAACTGGTGTGATAAGCCACCAGTTGGGAAACTCATGTTCATTATTGGAGTACCTGAATTCAACCTCTGAGTTCTACTTTGCATTCCAGCTTCCTGCTAATGTATGCCCTGGAAAGCAGCAGGTGGTGGTCCTGGTACCTGTTTCCCTGCTATCCATGCAGGAGACCAGGATGAAGTTCCTGGCTTCTGGCTTCTGACCTCTGGTTTCCTGTATTACAGGCATTTGGAAAATGAACCACTTTATGGGAGATCTCTATCATCTGAATTTGAAATAAATATTTTACAAGTGAAATTTAAGTTATATTCCAACTGAGAAATTAGGATAAAAATGTTTTAATTATTACTTCCTAATCACCAAACACCAAGTATGCTTATTAAATAAGTTATTTCTCTTGCCTCATTAAAGATATACATCCGTTTGCTGTTATGTACTTATATACATATATATATATATTTAAAAATTAAAATATATATATATTATTTGAAAGTCAGAGTTACAGTCACTTCTCAACCTTTTGGCTGAAATCAAGTGAGTGAAAGAGTTATAGAGGGAGAGACAGATGCACATCTTCTATTTGGTCCAAACCAGGAGCCAGGAGCTTCATCCAGGTCTTCCACCTGGGTGATTGGGCCTAAACAAATGAGCCATCTTCTGCTGCCTTTCTCAGGCCATTGACAGGGAGCTGGACCAGAAGTAAAGCAGCCAAGATGCGAATCAGAGGCCATATAGAATACTGATGTTGCAGGTGGTATCTGTCCAAAGCCAGGAGCCTCTTCCGGGTCTCCCATGCGGGTGCAGGTTCCTAAGGCCTCAGGCCATCCTCCACTGCCTTCCCTGGCCACCAACAGGGAGCTTCATGGAAAGTGGAGCAGCGGAACACAAACTGGTGCTTATATGGGATCCTGCTGCATGCAAGGCAAGGATTTAGCAAATAGGCTGTCATGCCATGCTTACAGGTGGTATCTTAACATGCTCTGCTACAATACTAGCCCCTGTCATCAGGCGCTTTTAAAACACCTGTGTGAATCTGATGTCTAGCTATGTCAGCAGTGTAATTCACATTTTTAAAAATACTGTATTATTTTGTATTGTAAGTATAAATTGTTCCTTTAAAAACATCTACTAAAATAAACAAAGCATACATACCTTTTCGTTGGTATACTGGAAATTATGGGGTGTATCACCCCATTAAAAAATAACAGTACCAATAGCAAAATTATTTTGTGTGAAATATTTTCAGTTCCATTTTAGGTGTTTCAAAATATGCATTTTACATGAATTTTTTGAAGATCCTATGTATCCATGGATGTCAAAATTTTTCTGCAAATGAAGACTAGCACTGTGGCATGCAGGTTAAGCCTCCACCTGTGATGCCAGCAACCCATATGGGCACCAGTTCGAGACCCAATTCTACTTCTGTTCTAAATCCTGGCTCTTGGCTTTGGATATGCTCAGCTCTGGCCATTGTAGCCATTTGGTTAGTAAGTCTCTCCTTTGTCTCTAACTCTGTCTTTCAAAAGAAAACAACTTTAAAAAAAATAATTTTTCCATGAGAGGTTCTAAGAACCCTCATATAATTTCCATATCATAAAATTCACTTTCCAAAAGTGTATAACTTGTTGTTTCTGAAAGATTGGTTTGTTTATCTGAAAGGCAGAGTTACAGAGAGAGAGAGAGGCAACATTTCCTCCGTCCATTGATTCACTTCCGTAACGGCTGTGATGCCCAAAGCTGGGCTGGTCAGGAGCCAGGAGCTTCACCCAGGTCTCCCACCTGATGCAGTGGTCCAACTACTTGAGTTATATGCTTCTTTACCAGACACATTAGCAAGAGGCTGGATGGGAAGAACACCCAGGACTCAGATTGGCACCGTGTGGGATGCTGGCACCTCAGGCTGCAGCTTTACTTGCCACAGGGCCAGTTCCAATGTCATATTGGGGTTTTTTCCCATTATATTGAATAAGAACTTAAAATCAAATTATTTCAATTAAAAAATAATTTTATTTCTGTTAGGGAATAATTGTTTGCAACGTACTCGGCATTATTCTAAGCGGCTTTTTGTATGAGGTCACTTCATCTTTACAACAGTCCCACGGGAGTAGAGGCCATCATTTCCATTTTACAGATGAAATCATGTCAGCACAGTGCACTTAAGGCACTGGCCAGAGACCACCCTGCTTATAAACGAGAAAGCTGAGCTCCGAGCCTGGACAGTCTGGGCTCTCCTTCAGCCCCTGGGTCCTGCTGCCTTGTAGCTGATGGTTTGTTGACGCAGTGCGATGCTGCTGGTTCTACACATTTTTTCATAAAATGCTCCGTCTTTATTCAGTGAACCAGATGTTCATTTTGATATAAATTGCTGAAGCATACATTTATTCAGAAATTTTACCTTATTTGTATGTTCCCTAAAGTCATGTTTATTTGGTCTATTTTTAATCTGTTTTGCATTTAAGTAAGAAAAAAAGTTCTGCTTCTTTAAAATGTTAGTATCATTCTCATACTTTCATGTTTAGCATGTTTAAAAAGGTTTTTTTCCCCCTTTTATTATTGCTGCATTCCCAGTCTTAGTGATAAAACCAAAACTAAGACCCTTGCATGACTTGCCATATTTCAGATCTTTACTCAAAAGATTTTTACTCTGCCTTAGAGTTGGAATTACTGAGCATCCTCTGAATCCATCCCCCTTTAATGTCCTCCCTGTTTCCTCCTAACAGCTGAATTCTTTTTCTTTGTATTGTTTGTTTTCTTTTTTTCAGCAACGCGGCCACTTAGCATGTCTTACAGTTTTGACTTGTCAGGTAAAAAAAAAAAAAATAGAAAAAAGAAAGCATACACTGTTACACTTTTGTGGTTTCTGTGAGTGCATTTCTTCCATCAGCTTGCTCAAACATGGCAAGAAAGAAAATTGAAAGGCTTCTTTCAAATGTGGTCAGTGAAATAAACCTTCTGCTTATTTGATAGTGGTATAATTTAAACTGTTAAAGCTACAGTAAATCTGTTGCGTCCCATACTCTGGTTACGGGATGTGGCTGTTGTCTTTGGATGGTATGTCGTCTCCTTGTTCCCCTGACCCAGACTCTTGTAAAGCAATAATGCTAAATTCTAAAACAGGCTTTTACCTTAATAGAATTTAAAAAAAAAAAAAACACTTTAATTTCCTGTTCTCTGAATCACAGTCAATTTAACTTGCTGAACTCAAAACAGCTACCTCAGAGGCTGACAGGTGTCTTGGATTACTATGTCAATTTGAGAGATAGACACAGGGAGGTCTTCTATCCACTGGTTCGCTGCCCAAATGGCTACAAAAGCCAGGGGTTGGCCAGGCTGAAGCCAGAGAAGTCAGGAGCTTCTTCCAGGTCTCCCACGTTGACTACACGAGCCCAGACACTTGAACCGTCCTCCACTGCTTTCCCAGACACATTAGCAAGGAACTGGATTGTAAGTGGAGCAACTGGGACTCGAACCAGTGCCCATATGGGATGCCAGCATTGTAGGCACCGCTTACCCTGTTACACCACAATGGAGGCCCCTCTAGTGGCTTTCTATATTGGGTAAGAGGATAAAAATACAAGATCACTATAACGGCTTGGGTTGTAATATGTAATTATGACCCCCAAGTTTGTAGAACAGGTTCAGAGCAGTTTGATTTCACAGAAAGGGATTCATAATGAAATAAATAAACATTAGTATCTAAATATAATCTGTGAAATAAATCCCTGTTTTAGATTGAAATGTAAATGGGTGAATTTTCAAAGTCAACTTAATTGTAATGAATTATTTGGAAAATTAGAATTTTTCTTTTATTTTGGAAGCTGCTGTTTTGAACCTAAGTGAGATATTGGTACTAGTATTTTCTATCAGAATTTGATTTTTAATTACTGTGAAATGCTTCTTAAAATGATTTTTGGCCTATCATATGCAAATTTATATGTAAAAGTCATCTCCTATGTAAGACTATATACTGAATAGTCTCAAACTACAAAATTAGGTCCCATCAGTTTTTAAATCTTCAGTTTTCATTTTTATAGGCCTCAAGCACAACTCTTAACATTTTATAATGTTCATTTACTAGTTTTGACTGACCACTGAAAAGCTTTTTCTATTTTCTTTATCCATTTAGCGATTTTTATTTTTTATCAGTCCTTTGCAGAATTATTCTAAAAGAAAAAAACAAAAAAAAAACTTGATCCTGGGAAATATAACACTCAGAAAAGTTTTGGAACATGCGTGCTACTGCTAATCTCCAGAGGTTAGCAGCATGTGTTCTAAGTACCTCAGCTCTTGTGAATATGCGCTGAAGCACTTACCTGGAATTGAACTGTAAGAGACTCGCTGGCAACCCGAGCCATCATTTCCACTCTTGTGGCTGATGTAGGCGGTAGGCGTGCTCACACTCACACAGGTGTGCTCTGTGTTCTTGCAGGCTCTGTGATTATGATACTTACCCTCCTTGGTGTAAAAGGGTAGCAAAGAGTTTTCATGAGCTCTCACTGCTAATCATTTGCTATCATTTATTTTGTGCCTTAGTGTATTTTGTGGATTTTCAAATGTTTTCACTCCTGATTTTTTTTTGTGTGTGTGTGCTCTTTTCATGTTTTTCAGTGTTGTGTTTTAACTGTTAAATTTCCCAAATTACAAATGTAAAAGATTGATTTATTCTTTTAACTTAAATACAAAGATTGGAATGTATTTTCTAAGTTGAAAAAGTATCAAGCCAAACAGTAGGCATTTTTAATGTGTGGTCTTAACAATGACTGCAACTAAGTAAAGATCAAAGCATACTGAGATGTATTCTGCTACTCAAGTATGCCTTAGTGAAAACCATAGCAGTCCACTCAGAGGCAGTTATGGTAAGTATAATTTGTTTTTGCCATGCAAATATTGAATGCACAGTCTGTATTCAAGTCACATGTGCCCCAGCTGCATGGGCAGCAGGCGCACATCGAGCTACGATGAAAGGTCTTTGCTATAATGGACATGCGTTCAGATTCTGAACCTGAGCTATATATGGTTCCTAAAGCCGTACCTAAGTGCTTTATATCTGAAATGTTTTTACTTACCTGTAAATACAGACCTAGTATATAAGCAATATATAGGCAAAATACAAAGGCTAATTCAAGTGGGTGGTGTTTCTCATTTGATATATTAATTCTGAGGTGTTCACTTGAACAGCCATGTAATATTTAACAATCATAGGTTCAACAGATTATAAACGTGTAGAATGAGATAAACTCACACGTAGTACTTAGTTTAAATACAGTGCATGGACTGTCTGAAACCAAGGCAGCCTACTCTTTATTAGTTCCATTTCTCTCAAGACTCGAAGGTGTTGATTTCAGTAGTTTCAGCCAAAGAGCCAAAATTACGGTTATCAATCTCCATTGCCCAGTGTTGAGTTAGAAAGCTCCTGGACGGTTTTTCAAACCCCTGAATTGAAAATGAGATGGCTCACTGTAGCTGTCATTACACAGCAGCCTTCCCTAAACTCCAGTTCACATGCCATCTTTATGATTTTTGTCAGGCTTAAGTGCCAGCAGCACTATTTAAATTTTTTAATTTAATTTAATTTACATTAAAATTTCTTGAGCAGTAATACCCATAAAATCATAAATCAGAGCTAATTTTTTTCTCCACAATATATTTAGACAAATAAATGTATACATTTAATGTACACCGTTAAAACGAGATGCTCCTCTGTGTGTTTCCAGTAGCACAGCGCCACTCTTAGGAATCTCTCCCTGGTGAATTGGAAAGGTGAGACCAGCCTTGGGAAAGTGACTGTGAGGACATGGGCCCTTTGTCACACTCAGTGAGCGTGACTAGTTTGGGAGTGCACCGCTGTTGCCAGGGGGAGAATAGCAGCTTTGAAGGCATTTGTTTCTCCCTTAGAAAGTAAATTGCTAAGGAAGGCAAAAATGTGTGTTTCAATTATTTGTTCTCTGTTGAAAAGTTAGCTACTACAAGGGTTTGAACAATTCTGTAATTAATGTATAGTAAGAGATACTATAGAATATAACTTTAGGATATATATTTTACTTTTGAAGACTGTCTCTAACCACTTACTGTCTTCTTTCTTGAATAGGAATCAGGCTAGTCATTTGTTCTATTACTTTCTGTAAAACTTTTAAATTAACTTCTAAAATAACTTCTCCCTACATCTTATGATGACTTAGGAGACCTATCTTTTAATTTTAACTGTGCTTTCTCTATCAACTTTTGAAAGTATTCTCCTAATGCCTGGGAGGATAATAATGCAGTAAATGGAAGCGTAGTCAAGTTCTCTGTTAGACATTTTGCCCTGGGAGTTAGTGATTCATGGACGGCTGTGTCTTGCCCAGCCTTCCTTCCCCTTCATTTCTTTTTCTTTTCCTTTCACCCTTTCTTTCTAGCTTGTCCAAATCCTTTCTTCAAATTCAGGAAGGCATGTTTTCTGGCCTTCTTAAACTCTAAAACTGAACACAAATTGTAAATATTACTGACATAATATTCGCATTACTGACAGAATATTCATGGATTTTAAGTAACTTCTGTTACAGTGCTTTCTAATAATCCTAAAGCAGCAAAATGTGTCTTTTTTGCTTTAGTAAATCACAAATATTGCAATTTCTGCTTTACTACCTAGCATGCCCTTTACCCCAATTCCAGGAGCTTCATAGATTATTCCTGTGCAGAGAACAGCATTTCATTATGCTGATCCATAAATTAAATTATACAGTCACTGCTTTTTTTTTCTTTTAAACATTTCACTATTAAGGTTGGGTATTAAATCTAGTACATGCTTTAATTCCTTATTTGATATATTGAAAAAAATTGGTACCGCTTATTATTGAGTCATTGAAGACTCAAGATTATAGTACTAAAAATTCGTTTGTGCTGACAAGAATTCATGATTTCTTTGCCCCAACATTGATTAGCAATTGCTAACATTTATTGTGTGCTGCTACCTACACTAGGCACTATATTTCTTTTCTTGAGAGATGTATTATTTTTACTGGAAAGTCAGATTTACAGAGAGAGGGAGATAGAAAAATCTTCCCTCTGCTAGTTCACTCCCCAAGTGGCCACAATGGCCAGAGCTGAGCCAATCTGAAGCCAGGAGCCAGGACCTTCTTCTGGGTCTCCCATCATTTTTTAAAAGAATTTAGATCCTCTTCCCAGAAAGCTTCAGTCAGTAATTGGATAAAATTGTTTTTAAGAAAAAAATTTTTAAGTACTTATTTTTATTACAAAGGTAGATGTACAGAGATTTACAAAGGAGAGACAGAAAGATCATTCCCCAAATGGCCACAACTGCCAGACCTGAGCTAATACAAACCCAGGAACCTCTTCTGGATCCCCCACAGGGGTATGCAGGGTCCCAGCGCTTTGGGCCGTCCTCCACTGCTTTCCCAGGCCACAAATAGGGAGCTGGAATGGAAGTGAGCAGCCAGGATACAAATCAGTGCGCATGTTGGTCCCAGCATGTGCAGCACTTCAGCCATAGTCTGCCATACACGGCCCAAGGCACGATATTTCATATGTCATGATTGGCCTTTTTAATCCTCACTCCAGGGCCCGGCGGCATGGCCTAGCAGCTAAAGTCCTCACCTTGAACGCGCCAGGATCCAATATGGGCGCCGGTTCTAATCCCGGCAGCTCCACTTCCCATCCAGCTCTCTGCTTGTGGCCTGGGAAAGCAGTAGGGGACAGCCCAAAGCCTTGGGACCCTGCACCCCCATGTGGGATACCCAGGAGAAGTTCCAGGTGCCCGGCTTCGGATTGGCTTAGCATCAACTGTCGCGCTCACTTGGGGAGTGAACCATCGGACAGAAGATCTTCCTCTCTGTCTCTCCTCCTCTCTGTATATCTAACTTTCCAATAAATAAATAAATCCTCACTCCAGGCATTCTTCCATTACTGTCCCCACCTCCCAGAAGAGGAAGGAGAGTCGCACAACTAGCAGTAGATTTCTATTGTGAACCCAAGCAGTGGGCATCATAGTGCACTATATACCACTTCTTTCTCTCTTGTTTTATTGTTACCCATCAACATGTGAGCCTTCAACAATTTGAATTAGATTTATCAAAGGAAATGTATCCCATATTTTTCATGTTCACATTAATTACGCTTTTGGGACTATAGATTATTAGCTCTTTGGCTCTTTAAACTCAAACATTTCAGATCGTACAGTTACAGTCTTAGAAAGACTTTGTGCCTTCTGGGTCTTTCATCCACCCATCACTTCTGCCTTAGTTGCTATAAAGTAAAGCTAGCCTCTCTGAACCTCAGCTCCCTCCTCTGAAAAATTAAGAAATCAGAGTCTGGTATCTTTCTAATCTACACATGTGAATATACAGCTTCTCATTTTAAAGTTTCCTTTCATTGAACCTGACAGTTAATGTATAACCAAAGTCTCATGAGGCATTGCTGTGTTGTTGCTCCTCTGTGTTGTGTCTGTGGGACATGGAATTGCCTTGCCCTTATAAGGACTGCCCAGCACTGTTTGTTACCTTCCTTGGCTTAGGAAAGGTAAGGTTTTGCTTTTCTTTTACTAGATGTCACTACCCCAGAATCTCCAAAGAAGGTTGTGGAATCGTCTGTGGTGAATGGTGCTTTAACATCGCAAACAAAAGAAAAGGGATTACCTGCCACTCAGCAGCTGCTTGTGCAGCGTAAGAAGCTCCTCAAAGCCCCAACCCTGGCTGAACTGGACAGCTCTGACTCGGAGGTGAGGGCCAGCGAGGAGGCCAGGGTGCTGGCACGGCGTGTCGCCTCAGACTTTGTTTAGTGCCTTCCTATGTTTCAGTCAATAAAGTTGGGATTCAAATTTATTTACCAAGGAGGAAATCAAGCAGTGAGTTATTTGCTGTTGTTAGTAAAGAGCAGTATGGTGACTAGTTTATAGCATCAATATTAAAGTTTTCAATACAGTGTTAAGTTAAAAGCAGGGTTAAGATAAATCAACAATTTTAAAAAAAAAGGTTTATTTATTTTTATTGGAAAGTCAGATATACAGAGAGGAGGAGAGACAGAGAGGAAGATCTTCCATCGAGTGGTTCTCTCCCCAAGCAGCTGCAACGGCTGGAGCTCAGCCAACCCAAAGCCGGGAACCAGGAGCTCCTCAGGGTCTCCCGTGCAGGTGCAAGGTCCCAAGACACTGGGCCATCCTCGACTGCTTTCCCATGCCACAAGCAGGGAGCACAGGGGAAGTGGAGCTGCTGGGATTTGAACCAGCATCCATATGGGATCCCGGCACGTTCAAGATGAGGATCCTAAGCACTACGCTATCACACCAGGCCCTAAATCAACAGTTTCAAAGTTAAGATCCTCCCCTTTGTTTTGGAAAGGGAAAAGGTAAAGTTAAAACAAACATGTCAATTGTCAGGAGACAGAAGATCTTCCTTTAAAATAGGCAAATGCACACACAGCCATACCTGGGGTGGTTCTCTCAGTAATAGTAGTGGCAACAGAAAAGCCGCACACTCCATCATCCTCCACTTGCCCCTTGGAGGAAACATGACCTGACCATCCTTCATGATTCCAGTACCCACTTAACGGCTGCCACTGTCTGTGTCTTAGGCTCCATCTGCGGTGTCAGGGTCACATACGGCGTTGTCGCTGGTCTCCACTTCCTGTTTCTCAAAGTCAGCTCATGTAAAATGAAACTCACTTCCTCTCCAACACACACACACACACACACACACACAACAACCGGCTTTTCATCTTAGACCCATTACCCTAGTTGCTGGCTCCACCCTTTTCGTAGTCACCAAGGTTTGAATCTAAGGAATTATTCTTTAATTCTACTCTTGACTGTCACTTCCCCCTCAATGCGGCAGTATACCAGTAGCAGTTTTACCACTAAAGGTTTTTCAGGCAATTGAATGTCCTTATTACTGACTGATCCAGCCCATATCTCTCACTCCGTTTCTTCAGCAGCCTAATTATTCTTTTCTTTCCAAGTTCCATCTTGCACGCTGCCGGAGTCCTTGTCACTCCTGCTTATGATGTTGGCAAGGCTCCCAACACCTTAGAGGGATGAAGTTTGTATTCCCTAATGAGACTCATGTGTGTCAGGCCTTGTCTTGCTTCACACTGCCCTGTCGCCCCTTCTCCCCCTTTTACTCTCAGCCACATGAGGCCACTTGTTATTCCTACGCAAGCCGTAGTTCCTCTGCTCTGGCTTAGATGGTGTCTACAGACTCCCTGAGTCCCATGCCCTCTTCTTTCTTGCCCAATGAGCACATGGCTCACCTTCTCTTAGAAAGTCTTCCCTGATAGCAGCCCATCCAGACTCCTCCTCTGATTCCCAGACAGTCCCTCTCCTCTCTCTGTAACACCGGAGCACTTAACACTGGGTCTTGCACTCACTCACTTGTTTCTGTAGCTCCCACCAGTGTATAAGTGCCCTGAGTTAGGGGGCTTGCCAGGTTTGCCTGAGAGTCCTTGGTCCTAACACCCTGGAGAAGATATTCAAATATTTGAATAAATTCAAATTAACTTGTACTAACAATTGAAATTTAAGAACATGTCACCTAGAGAGATATGCACTGTCCGCTGCAGTAGCTACTCATGGTGTACCCATTAAGTAGTTTAAATTATTGCAACAGTTCGCTTCTAAGTCACAAATCTCAAGTGCTCACAGCCACCTATGGCTAACACCTACCATATGGGACAGTTCAGGCGACAGTCACCTCACAGTGTTTTGTTGGCTGGCACTGACCTGCAGCTGCTGGGGTCTCTCTCTCTCTGCTCCACCCCTACTCCACCCTGAGACAGGACTGCCCCTGACCACAGTCTGATGTACTAAGAGCCTCAGCACTCTGCTTCATGAGCTTCTATCTGAAGATGGAAGCCAACACCCAACGCCCAGATCCTGAAGGGATCTGCTCGTCCTGTCACTCTACTTAACCAGGAGGCCAGTGTCACCCAGCTGGAACAGGAAGTAAGCAATAATGTGCTGAGAAGAGCAACATTAAAACTGGACTTCTACTCCTCATCTTTGTTGTTAGCTGCTGGTTTAAACACAGGTAGCCCAAAGTTCCTCAGTCCCTGATAGTGGGTCTCAAAGTTTTTTTTTTTTTATTTTGTTTAAGAAATAAAGTGAATGATTTTAGGCAAGGGCATAGAAATAAACATATTCTTCCCTTCATTCTCAACTTTAAAAAAAAAAATCATGTTCTTTACGGCTGGTTATTGTAGTGCAGTAGATTAAGCCGAAGCTGAATGGCTTAGAATGGCTGCATCTCGTGGGGGAGTGCTTCGGATCCAGTTACACCTCTGCTTCTCATCCAGCATTCTTGCTAGTGCGCACCCTGGGAGGCAGCAGGTTCCTGCCGCGTACCTGGGAGGTCGCGTGGAGTTCCAGGCTCCTGGCTTTGGTCTGGCCCAGCCCTGGCTGTGGTGAGCGTTTGGAAACTGAGTCAGCAGAGAAGATCTCTCCCTCCCACCCTCGTTTCTTTTTCCCTTTCCCTTTCTCTCACTCTCTGTTACTCCTTCCTTTTAAATTGTTAAACAAATTCTAAATTAATGTTTTCATGTTTTTAAGTCCTGACATCCATCAAGGGTAATTTATGAAAATGTGTTCCTTTTTAATTAGTTTTGGGCGTTTTTTGTTTTTTTTTCGGTTGGTTTTTTTGTTTTTTTCATTTAAAAGAAAGAGTGACAGGCCCAGCGCTATGGTCTAGCGGCTAAAGTCCTCACCTTTAATGCACCAGGATCCCATATGGGCACCAGTTCTAATCCCGCTACCGCACTTCCCATCAGGCTCCCTACTTGTGGCCTGGAAAAGCAGTTGAGGACGGCCCAAAGCCTTGGGACCCTGCACCCATGTGGGAGACCCAGGGAAGCTCCGGGCTCCAGGCTTCAGATCAGCTTAGCTGCGGCTGTTGTGGTCATTTGAGGAGTGAATCATTGGACGGAAGATCTTCTTCTCTGTCTCGCCTCTTCTCTGTATATCTGACTTTACAATAAAAAACAATTTAAAAAAAATTTTTTTTAAAAATAAAGAAAAGGAAGAGTGACGCAGAGAAAGGCAGAATAAGTGCTCTTCTACCTGCCAGTTCACTACCATAAATGGCTGCAGTGTTTGGGGCTGGGCCAAGCCAGAGCGAGGAGCCAGTAACTGTCTGGAACTCCCACGCACTTGTAGAGTCCTTGGATCTTCATCTACTGCTTTCCCAGGAGCATTAACAAGGGACTGGATTTGGAAACAGAGTGGCCAAGACACACGTGTGCTGCAATATGGGATGCCAGTGTCGGCCTGTTGTGCCACAATGGGAGTGCCTGTATATCCCTTTAGAATAATAATTTTTAAAACAACCTGGGTGCCAGCATTGTAACATGGTACATGATGAATCACCACCTGCGAAGCTGGCGTTCCCTGTGGACACCAGTTCAAGTCCCAGCTGTTCCACTCCCAATCCTGGGAAAGGGAGCACAGGCTATTCCAAGTGCGTGTGCCCCATTCTCCCAAGTGAGAGGCCTGGAAGTGGCTCCTGGCTCCTGGGTCTGGCCTGGCCCCATCCTGGTCACTGGGGGAGTGATACAACCAATAGAAAATTTGGGGTTTGTAGTAATTGAAGTTTAGTAATATTTCTGTTGCTAAAACATAGCTTTGATGTAATAATATCACATTAGTTGTGTCATCCTAAAACTCTCATTAACATCAGCTGCTTTCAGATTATCCATCAGTTGGTTAAAGCCAACGTAGAAAATATCCGTTGTGAAGTCAGTTAATTAACTGAAATTTACACAGATGTGAAATGCCCGGAACTGCAGACCAGGTTCTCTGATAGCATGAGCTAGGAACTGTCCTTCACACAGGACCTGCACAGGGTCCTGGCTCCTGCTGACGGGACAGGGCACCAGGGCAAGTGCTCCAGCTGACGGGACAGGGCACCAGGGCAAGTGCTCCAGCTGACGGGACAGGGCACCAGGGCAAGTGCTCCAGCTGACGGGACAGGGCACCAGGACAAGTGCTCCAGCTGACGGGACAGGGCACCAGAGCAAGTGCTCCAGCTGACGGGACAGGGCACCAGGACAAGTGTTCCAGCTCCAGCTGACCAGACAGGGCACCAGGGCAAGTGCTCCATGGTTTTAGCCATCAGTGTGCCCTCTAACTGACAAGGAGAGTTGAACTCAGGATCTCTGTGTCTCTTCCAGGTCCAAAACTTGGCATTTATTCCCAAGAATACAAAACTAGAAGTTGCTGACAAATCCCACCTTTTGCTAATTCCTCATGTCAAGGAATTCCTAAACCAACATTGATTTATCTCTGATCATACTTGTTTGTATATAAATGGTCACAATACAAAAAAAGGTTTTATATAAATGTATACTGTATAGTTTGTTATATATGTAACAAAATATTACACAATCCTTCTTCATTTTGTAATTTTTGTTCCCTGATTTTTTCATATATCCTTTAGCACTTCTGTTGTTTTCACCAACTTTTTTTAGCCAATGCCACTCCATGTTTTTCCAGTCAGCTCTTTTTTTTTAAGTTTTTTTTTATTTATTTTTATTAGAAAGTCAGATATACAGAGATATCTTCCTTCCACTGTTTCACTCCCCAAGGGCCCAGTGGCCGGAACTGAGCCGATCCAAGCCAGGAACCAGGAGCTTCTTCTGGGTCTCCCATGCAGATACGGGGTTCCAGGGTCTGGACCATCCTCAACTGCTTTCCCAGGCCACAAGCAGGGAGCTGGAAGTGAAGTAGAACAACTG